TCAGATTTTTTAAATGCCTTTCTCAATTGCAATTAAATAAATCATAGTGCAGTATGGGCCTGGAAGCTACTAGGATCTTGAACAAAGGCAAAGGATTAAAACACTTGTATGTTCGGGGTGTATTTGTAACTAGTATTAAATTGAGTCCTTCAAGCTACTTGACTTGCTTTCTTAGCCCTGGTTCAGATCCATAGAAAGGACATAAGGACGTTGTATAACTCTTCCTTATTTGCCTTCAATCTGAGCAGGCTGCCAATTGAAAACAGAGATGGCTTGTGTCAGAAAGGAAACTCATTTTTACGTCATTCCTAAATTGAGCAGCTTCTGTTTTTGTTTGGCCTTCTCTTGCTCCACATCCAAGTCAGAGCTAGAGCAGGAAGGCAGGAGGTATACTGGGGAGGGATTGTGAAAGCCCAGGGAGAAGTGCCAAGATATTTTTATAATCTCAGTTATACGTAAGTCATGCATGATTATCCTGCAGCACGTTTCTGTGTAGAAGGTAAGTGTTGCACCACTTGCTAGCACACAGCATTAAACTTGTGTGCCTGGCTCCAGGTTGCTTTGCAAGCCTATAGCTACTGGTAATAAAAGCTGAGATTCCTCATACCTGGAATCTGTTAAGTTCCTTGTAGCTTATGCATGCAGGCACTTAACCCTTTTCCCATAAACTTCTGCCTCTCAGATGTGTCGTGAGGGGTCATCCACTTTCATGTACAAGATTAGTCTGTATTTGACGTTGCAATGAAAGGTGGAACAGCTCAACTGCTTCAGTCAAAAGCAAAGTGAAAGCAAAGAATCCAACAACCAGAAAGAAACTTGGGCTTCTGCATATGAAAACTAGTCAGGAGCTTCAAATGGCTTGAGCTCAACTTATGATTCGGATTTGTAGTCCTAAAACTCTGGTCTCCTAAGACTTCTAGTGATTATACAGATTTTCTTTTTTTTTCTTTGCATGTCAAGGTTTTGTTTTTGATATCTTAATTTGCCTGCTAAACTAACCGTGGTTACTGTTCAGTTATCAGACAATTTTCTTAGAGTTGCTATCTCACTGATCTAAAACTGATACTGATATTAAAAGCCATGAATATTGAGTGCCAGAGCAGCTCTCTTCCATAGCTAGTCTATTTGTCTGTGTTAACTGGGCTTTATAAAGTTACTGCTGTTAAAACTTCTGAAAATAAACAAGTCTTGGTAAAGGAATTACTAGTGAATTAAACTACTATTTTTTTTTTGAGGGGAATAAGCACTTGACGTCTATTTCCATTTTAATGGCTACATTTTTCTGTTAGCCTGCCAACTCAAAATAAGGTTAGCAAAACAAGGTTAAATTTAGTGAAGGAGTAATACAGTTTCAGAACTGTGAAGGAGTTGAGTGAACTAGAGCTAAATGCCATATTATAGCCTTAGTTCAGCACCTAATTTTATGCACATGTACATGAATAATAAATATCCAAAAGCTCAGTGGCTTGTTGGACATGGTAGAGACACATAATAGGATAGGTATGTATGATAAATTCAAATGTGAATATCAGCTTTTCAAGAAGCTGGTCTAACTCTTAATCCTTTCTCTAGATTTAGGTGCATAAAAATGACTGAAGTGATTCTGTTGTATCAGGAAGACAAATTAGAAATGTCTATCATGGTTATTTTCAGATAATTTCTTATGAAGCTTCAACAAGTTTATTTTACTTTGGAACTGAAATAACTGGATCTAAACCCCCAGAAACCTGTATAACTCAGCATTTAATTTAACACTCTTGTGCCAAGTAGAAGTATTCCACACTTTCATGGCTTTTGACTGTTTACTCCCTTCTCTTAAATTATATATTTTGTAGTTGAGGGTTTAGCCTTTAGGGTTTTGATAAAGGATGCTGCCCTTAAGCAGCATTCTTAAAGAACTTAAAAAATATTTTTTTTTGTTTCTCCAACTTTTTCTAATTAGTACTAAAATAATCTGGGAAGATCATAGAATCATAGAATGCTTAGGGTTGGAAGGGACCTCTAGAGATCATCTAGTCCAACCCCCCTGCATACGCAGGGACACCTAGAGCACGTGGCACAGGACTGCATCCAAGCGGGTTTTGAAGATCTCCAGAGAAGGAGACTCTACAACCTCTCTGGGCAGCCTGTTCCAGTGCTCTGTCACCCTCACTGTTAAGAAATTTTTCCTTAAGATGGGGCTTTCGGAATGATACTGCTCATCCGTAGGTACTCTAGATCAAGAATGTTTTCAGAGTGGTGTCTTATTCAAGCCAAGCTTCTGCTGCAGCAGAATCTGGGCTCCAGTTACTACACGAGGCTTCTCATGGTTACATCTGACAAAACTGCAACTTTACTTGGTTTGCTCCAAAAGTATTTGTTCTCCCTTTTAAGAAAATGTGTATGTAGCTTAAAACTTTAATTGATTTTATTTTTATCAGAGAAGTTGAAACAACCACTGTTGTGGTTCAAAATGTTTTTCATGGAAAATTTAGCAAAAATCTTTTTTTTTTCGTTCAAAATGTTTTTCATGGAAAATTTAACAAAAAATTTTTTTTCAGAGTGAATACTATTTGAGGGAAATTCTTGCAGTATAGACACATACAACCAAAATGAGCTTTTCACCTTTCTCAGAGTGACCTTCATGAGCTACAGCCTATATACTGGGATAATGCAGTATCTTTCTAGCCTTCTTGTTTAATTCTCTCTATGCATTTTCTTCCTCTTATTGTTTCTATATTCCAGAGGAAACATGGAATTCCTGTTTGTTGTTGTTGGATTTCTAATGATTCCTGTTTTCTCACATTGTTTCAAATAAGTTCAACTACTAGGACACCAATCAGGAATAAGCTTGAGTACTGAAATAGTGTGAAACCAGAATATATTCTGGAAAGTTGCCCGAAACATGAGAGGAAAATTGGAGAAATGCGCATCTATAGTAACTGTACTGAAAAATCTGGTCAAACTGAAACACTTTTGACTTTCTACAAACATCCAAGACAGTCTTTCATTAATACTTCATATGATGCTATTTCCCTGAGTATCCACAGATAACATTTCTACAAGAAAAACTAAAAATATCTAATTGGATTTAAAACAGGGTTCAGAGATGAAGCCAAGCATGTTTTTCCAAGTTCTGGATTAGAACCAGGATGTGGACAATAGATTCTACTTTTTTCCTTTGTCAGATCTGGGAAAGGCAAGTTGAAATCCCCATGGCTCTTGTTGCATAACACCTCAAAGTTGAAAGGGATCCAGCCCTGGGGTTCTGGCTCTTCCCAAGATAAACTTAATGTCCTCCTTGAAGGGAACCCCCAAAAGGAAGGGGAGAGGACTTGGCTGTGAGATCAGTGAGCTTTGTGGTGGTTTTTTGTTTAAGCTGATGATAAATAAATAAAAAATTTACTACTGGATTGTTTTGCATGCAGATGATGCTTGTATTAGCTGGCTTCTAAAAGCCTGTGTCTGCTAGTGCTGAGAAGCACAACCTCATCACTTGGTTGGCTCAAGCCAGCACTTCAAGTACTATTAAATAGTCAGAAGAAATAGTGTAAATACACATTCAAAAATCTAAGCTGTACATAGTTGTATACACACCATAAAATTTTTAGGTCTCAGTAATGATAGTTCCAGTTATGTATTTTTCCTTACTGTTATTTGCACCATGCATGGACACATCCTCTTCTAGAGGTAAAATGACTGTTTACCTCTTGCTCTTGCTATACTGTTTGGGCTACTGCGGGGGGTGGTGGTGGTGTTGGTGGTGGAAATGATGCCACTTTCCTTCAAAAGTGGGAAAGGTGGGGGGAAAGGCAACCAGTAAAAGCTAATTCACTTCCTTGGGCTACCTCCTTCCAGTTTCGCTTCTAGTGTTTTTTGCATCTTATCTTCTGGCTTTCCTTAGCAACTTTCAAGACTGAGAGCTAAGTTCTTTATCCTCAGCTTTCTGTATTCAGGATGACTAATGAGGCTTAACCAAAAATTTGGGGTGTTTGTCTTGTGGCCTGTCTGGATTAGGTGCCCATCTTAGGCTGGTGGCCCTTCTTCCTGAGAGGTTGTGGGAATAAGCTCTGGGGCAGGTGACCTGCTCTTTCCTCATGGCACTTCCCTGTGCCATGTCCCTTCAGCCATGCGATAGGAAGGGCTGGAGATGGCAGCTGGGCCGAGGCTGCTGCCACCAGAGTGGGCGCCCTGTGTGGCTTGAAGGGCTGTTGCTGCAGTGGATGAGACTTCCCCAGTAAAGGGGGAACTGCAGTGGGGTGCATGGCTCATGTGATAGCAGCTTGGTTTTAGCTGTTGCAGACTTTTCTTAGGCAAGTGGTTTGTGAAGATACTTGTAACACCCTTGGGATGAGTCCTTCCTTGGGAAGGACTCATATTCATATGAGATTGGGAAGGTTTCAAGCGTGTCAGAGCAGCTGAAGCCTGAGGGAAAATCTTCCAGCTGTGAAGACTGCTGCACCGTCTGTGCTTGCTTGAGCTGCTTTCATGGTTTGATGCAGCACACTGAGTGATGAGTATCATTCTACCAGAAAAAGTTACCAGACAAGAAATAGTTATAAATATCTTATTTTGCTTCTGAGTAGCAGATATATCAGGATACATTTCCTTTAGAGTTTTTGAAGTGATTTGTTTTTCTTGCCAGATATGAGAACCAGCACAGCTGAAAAGAGCTTAGATACAACATAAAAATAATCTGGAATACCAAGTTTAAGATTTTTCAGGTTCTTCACATAGCTGAAAATATACCCCAAATAGGGAGTTCAAACCAAAATCAGTAATACTGACATTGACCAATCTTCTCTAATGCAGATGCTACAGTGAATTATACTACATGAATCTTCCACATTAGCAAAATATAGGTGCTTAGTAATACTTTTCAGAATACATCTGTTGAAATTTGATGTATTTCAATGATGTTACAGTAGTTCAGATCCAGTGAGACCTAATGGCTATTAATGCTAATTTTATGATTTTGCTCAGAGACTTATTGCTAATGTACATACTTTTAATTATTATAGGAAATCTATCAGTGGTGTGGCTCAGCATGCAATAAATACGAGCGTCTGAAGGCTACTCAGGTTGCTGTTGGCATTCGGGACAACGAGCGGAATGGAAGGTCCCAGCTGATTCCTGTGGAAGAAGGAAGCGAACCTGACCGGCTTATAGAGGTAATGGATATACAGGTCATGCAATCACTGAAGCTATGATCAAAATGCCTTTGTGGCTCAGGAGCTAAACGGGGTTGGGCTCAATTCTTGTGTCCTTCAAGCAGTCCAGGAACTCAGGGTGAGCTTGTGGGAGGTCAGTCAGCTATAGTGCTTGGGATAGGAGGGAAAAGAAGCATAAAGATGCTGGGTGTTAGAGCCTGAGATAATTAACCACCCAAAAATACTCTTCTGAAGACTAAGTACTTGCTTTTTTTGATTCATCTGTAGGGGACTGGGTTAGCATAGTTCAGGTATGACCTGTACTGTTGTCTACTCCATATGAGGAAAGGACAGGATCATGGTGGAACAATATAAAACAGCTGAAAGTACGGTGTTTTGGACGTCAAAAAGTGCAGCAAATTGCATGGGATTGAGCATGCTGCTTTGTACCCCTCCCACCCCGCCATGTCAGCTTTGCATATAGCTTCTAGTGAGCCTCTTCCTCTTTATGTTTACAAAGCTTAACTATAAAAACAAACAACCCCCCCTCCCCAAACCACTAGGATTTCAGAACTGAGCAGAGTGCAAAGAAACCCTCACATTTGGTATTTTCATATCTTGTGAAAACTAACTGGAACCGTTTTGTTGCAGTCTGTATGCTAGCTTAGTAATAAGGACATTATCACTGGCATTTACTAAGTTTAGCTTTTTCCATTCCTTCCCTAAAGAGGGAAGAAATGAAACAGGGGTCATAAAGCAGTCCTTCAGTAAAATGGAAAATGCACAGTTGAGACAGAATATTATCTTGTACTTCAGAGATACTTCAGAAAGCAATGCTAATGGTATCGGCAAGTATGCTATTATTTTTTGATTTTTTGCTGTTTTACCACTTGAACTTGCAATTGCCTGAGTAGAAAGCATGACAGAAGCAGAGCCTGCACTCCTCGGGCAGACTGGCCTTGAGGATGCCATTGTATCATCTACCCATCTGCTTGCAGAGGTGTCGTGCCTGCGGCTGCCGGTGTAGGGAGGCAGAGGACGTGGCGTTTAGCTTATGTTGTGTGGAAGGTAAGAATCCCTCAGCCTGTATTTGGCTCTAGATCTCCTTTCATAGACTTCTCAGTCTATGACATCAACAGTCTTTATGAACACAACACATGTTAGTTGAGACTGAGCCCAAGCTTCTTGTCCCTCGCCTGATGTTTGAAGTTGCAGCCTGCTGCAGGATATGGACCATGGCTTGCTGGGAGGTGCTGGGTGGCACCGTGGCACTGTGCCAGCATAATCCCTGCGCAGCAGCCTCCTCCTGCCCAGCCCACCTTGGAGTTTACACTTGGGGCTCTCTGCAGGGTTTCTGATGTCTCGTCTGCGTGTTGGGAGTGTTGATTGGAACCGCTGCACTTTGCATTTGTTATCGGAGGTTGCAGTTGCAGGTGCAAATTCAGCCTTCTGAGCAGCAGCAGCAAGGACACGGCCCTGCTGCAGAGCTGGCCTTCAGCAGCTTGGCATTATCCCCCTGGAAGGGTATGAGCCACAGGGATATGATGGCCTGCCGCATCTCTCTGTTTGCCAGGCTCTTACTGAGCTGTGTGAGACTAGCAAGCTTGAAGAGCAGGAAAAATGACAAGGTTGCTTTTTGATTTTTGTAGCATGTTGCCACTTTACCAGGGAGTAAATCTGTTCTTGGCTTGCCCAGCAGTGTATGGGAAAAGTTTTAGCTTGTTCTTTTAGGCTGCAAATGCAGAGGGAAGACGCACATTGTTTCAGTGCAAGTAGCTTCACCGCATTTGCTGCCCGCCTTAAGGTGAGTTTGACTCAAGTGACTTTGTCATCAGCCAGGCCTGCTTACCAGCTGGACAGCCTTGCTCTGGGATGTCCACACAACATTGGCAAAATTTTCTGCAAAACAGCATGGAGGAGGGCTGAGCAAACATGTAAAGCCCATTAATCCCTTTCCTGCTTAAAATGTGTCCAGTTCTTTGCCGCCTTCATTTTGATTTCTCCCAGTTCCCACAAAACCCTCTCTAACTTGCCTACACTTCTTGCCTAGCCTGACTGCACTGAAAATACTACACTTGTTTATTCCCTTGGGATCACAAAGTGTAGTTGTAGGGAAGAGCAGATGTGGTGCCAGTCCGTTCCCTAGAGGACACATGGATAAAATGAGTGGTAGAAAACAGAAGCCCACACACACCACAGGGAAGCATCTGAGGTCATATTTACTCTAACAGGCCTATTGCTGCTGGACTATCCTGACAGCCATGCTTGCTCTTCAGATACCAGGTTATTATTTTCCTTTTTTTTTTTTTTTTTTTTTTGCATTGCCAGTTTGATTTGGGAAATTCAAGAATTTTTCTTTTAGCTGTGGGAACTAGTTATCTTGGGTATAACCACACTATTTCATTGGTGCAGGTTGTGCAGGTGTCACTTGTCACTTGCAGTAACCCCCAAAGCTTAAGCTTCAGAACTGTCAGAAATTCTTTTTCTCCGATTCTAAAAGTGCTCAGTCCTTTCCGGGACTCTCCTATCCCTTACTGCTTTCTCTCCAAAGACATGATAGTGCACTAACTTTTTCCAAAGCAAACATCACAGCTCATGCCTAAGGGAAAACAGACTAAATAGTCTTTTGTCTGGAAGTGAGAATAACACTGAAGTCAGAGCCACAGAAACTCTTAAATCCTGTTTAGGTACCCACCTCCTACTGAAAAGCAGTATTTAAACTTTTAATTTGTGTATTTACTTAATTTATCCTTGTGCATCTTGCCTCATGTGACTTAGCTCATGACTAAGCTCATAAAGGCATACCACAAAAATGAGCTTATGAAGCTGCACGTCAGAATCAGCTGGTTTGGCAGTTTATTCACTAATCTGGTTTCTGATACAAGCAGAACAGTGCCAGAACTGTCAAAGTAAGACAAGCAGGAAGTATATATTGTTATTAAGTTAATAACCTAATACTTTGGATAACTAAGGATAAAATGGGCCAAGAATGACATGTATTTGAACTTTTGGTTATTTGGACTAGAAATCTAGAACTGGATTTTTGCCCTTCGTCTTCTGGAGCATGGGTGAGGAGGAGGAATTCTCTCTTCCAACAAAGAAAAAAATCACGTACTTGAAATATGTAGTTTTTTCTTCTCTCCCCTCATCTGGCATCTAGCTGAAATCAGAATGACACTTTCCTAACGTTCCCTCCTCTCGTAAGCGTCAGGAAATATTCCCCCCTCCTACAAGTTAGAAAGGCACCTGCTTCCACAGTGGTGCCTTGAGTTCTTGTCCCGCACAGCTAGCTCGGCGCTCACCGGGCGCAGGCCGACACACACCACAGATCCCAGTGCAACGAGCTGGGGCTGATCTTTATCCACACACCATTAACAGCCCAACTAGTAAAGCAAGGCCTTTGTGTTCACACACTACCACTGAGACCATCTATAGATCCTGCTGGATTTCTGCTGATCCCATACGCAGGAAATCTGACGTTTCCAAAAAGCCTAGGCCTGTGGTAGGCATGCAGAACATCTGAGGTGCTACAGGAATTACTAGAGCTCATCCACGGTGAAGATGGGGCTGAAAATTTCCCTACAGAAACACTGAAGGTGTTCATCAGTTTGGTTTCACAAATATATTTGCATCTTACGTGCAGTGCTGAGCAGTAGGTATAAATAAGGATTGCTACCTTGGAAATTTGAAAAATAAACCAACCACCTTGGGCAAACCGCGGATGTTGACGCTCAGTAACTGTGGTGGCTGTCCAGTCACAGCCATATGTAGTAAAACTAACGAGGTGCCAACTCTATTTTGGTTTTCATGCATAAAAAGCTGAACAGTTACTCATTCTTGCTGAATTATGGGCCTCAGTGTTCCAGTTCTGTTATGCAGGAACTTTTAACCCCATGGAACCAATCCAAAAATAGGTCTTAGCAATGCTTGAGTCAGTTCGGTCACCCAAGAGTGACCACATTAGGGCTAGAATTAATGACTTTTTTAGTTTTAGAGTTTGTTTGGTTTTGTTTTAAACAAGAGGAGCACTAAATATATGGTTTAGAAAGCAATGCAGGACTGAAGTCTGCTAGGGTCTGCTTCTAGCCTTGTTGGCTAATGTATCCTTGGGCATAGGAGTAGAGTTTCGATACTGATTTTTTTTTGTCCTTCTGACCCTTTCCAGCGGTAAGCAGGCATTTCACGGCATAGCATTTGTGTACACAACACTTGCTGGGTGTGTGCACCACGGGCACAACCCGAGGTCTGTAAGTGCAAGTACAGCCACAGCTTAGAACTGACTTAAGGTGGTAGTATGAATGGCCCAGCATTAAACTCATTAGCCATTGCCAGGCTTGAATATCAGCTCTAATTCTGAAGAGAAGATAAAAGCTAGGAAGGCAAACAGAAAGAATCGTTTCCCCTGATTTTACTGCTCAGAAGAATTTTGAGAAATGGCGAATGCACTGAGTGCTTGTCCAGGTACCCCTTTCCTTTCTCCAGGGAAGTTATTGTCAACCTCACGGTAAATGGAAGTGCAAACTCTGCCTCTTCTTGTTTGGCTGGTATCATGAGAATGGCAAATTCTCATGGGAAGGGAAAAAAAATCAAATATGTCTGTTTTTGGAGAAGTATCTAGTCCGTCAGCAAACAAGCTGCTGTAATAATTCATGGGACACATACACAGTTGTAAGCCACTTGAGGGAAAGAAGTTTACCAGACCTTGCTGTAGTATGATACCTCTAGAGATCAGAGTAGCAGAGGAAGACAAAGTCTCAGCATGTTTCTCTTACAATATTTGGGTAATTTGAAATGTTAGTCATCTTGAAAGATTTTTACATTGCCACTACTCTGTTACAGCTCTGACTATGTAGACTGACTGCCTATGATGCCTTTTAAATAATTTGGGCATCTGTGACACTCGGGTTCTTATAGAGCAGGGCTGTTTGCAGTGCAAGAGCCAGAAAAAAAAAAAAAGTAAGATAAACTGAATTTTAACTAAACTGAATATTAAGCCTGCTTATGCCATTCCTATTTA